TTGTTATATAATCTATGAGGAGGCAACAAATGCTAGTGCAAAGAAAAGAAAATGCTGAGGGGTTTGGGACTGCTGCGCTTCCAGCTGCAGGGCTGAGCGATGTGGTCAGGCCTGGGCGGCCTCACTCAGCAAATGAGGGCGCTACTCGGAACCTTAACACACGCCCCTGCTTGCTCCGTGCAGTTGCCCTGGGTCCAGCTGAAGTGAATGTTGATCATTCTGTTCCTCAGGCCAGTCACTTGTCCCCAGTCCTGGACATGCCCCAGCGGCTTGTGTGAGAAGGACTGTGGCTCTGGCCCGCAGGGGAGGCAGGTCTTATCACCAGGTTCGCCGGCAGAGGGGCTGTCTCGGAGCGAAGCCTCAATCAGAGTTGCCTGTAGTCACAGCTTCAGCCAGCTTTGCAAACAGATGCCAGGGGTGCCTTAGGCCACCCACCCCGCCCGAGCCTGGCAGTGTTCCAGCGACGGCCAGTGCTGCTGGCAAGGGAATGGGCACTATTTTCTTTAAGGCAGCAGCCCTCGGTGTGGCCCCGAACCTGGCGGGTGGACGCCCATGTCTTTGAGGACGTTTCAGGGGAAGTCTGAGGTCAAAATTATTTTCATGGCAGCCTAGGGTGCTACTTGCCTTTTTCATTTTCATTCTCTGTTTTGTGTGGTGGAATTTTCCAGAGGTGGTGTGGCATGTGACCGCGCAACAGATTGACTGCGGAATCAGATTGAAATACTGCCTTTTGCCTAACTTCGTATTTGTGGGAAGCCCTATTTTCTTTATATATTTCCATCGAAACAACATACTGCAGCAGATTGAATGGAGAGGACAGGGAAATCCAGCTGTCTGTTTGCCAGGCTTAAAGAGATTTGCAAAGAAGTTCAAACAGTTTCTCTTCTTGCTGGATTTTTTTTTTTTAAGAAATATAGTTACTTTCTGTATAAGAGATATTTATGTTAATATGTAATGAGCTTATTATTGTGATTTATAAACAAATTCATAAGTAAATATTAAACATTTTTTTCAGTTTTAATTTTTAATGTAGTAAATATCAATGGGTATAATCCACATAAACAAATGCAAAGCGGTCCTGAGACAACATGTTTAAGACAGGCTGCTCTCCAGGGGTTGATATGATGTCACACCCACGTGTTGTTACAGGCCCCAGACACCTGTTCAGGGGCATCCTTCCTTGTTCCCAGAGACACTTGGTCACACTTCCCCACCTGACTCTCTTTCGGGTGTCTGTATACTTGTACAACCACTTTGAATTAATGTTCATCTTAATGGAGAAAAAAATGCATTTAATCCAGCGTGGGAAGAAGAAATTAGAGATGTCCTGGGTTTACCTAACAGATAGCTGGAGAGTTGCAAGGTGATCGATCAAGTGGCTCTTAGGAGAACACATTTGTCCTCAGGTTGGACCCAGGACAACTGGATGGAGGTGAGCGAAGGGAGCCTACCCACTTCTTGGCCCTGAGAACTTTGGGCTCTAACCACCCACATGCTTTTGATCCCTGGCTCTGGAAGAGCTAGAAGAGCAAGGAGGTTGGCACCTAAACAATGGGAGCCATCTCCTTTCCATCAAATGCAATTGGAAGCTCCCGGGAACACTGGCAGGCCTGCATGTAAAATGAGATACACTCGAATGACACTGCAAGAACTGTAGTTACCAGCAGCTCTGTGGCTCACCTAAGATGATTCTACAAGAGCAGAATTACTTTATTTCCTGCCAACATGTTTTTGTTTCCTCGGCAGACTCAGGCTTGTGGTCCCTTTCCACACTGCGGCTGTGGAAGGAAGAGGCAAAGCCATTTCTGGATGTGTGTCCAAATACAGTGAGGAAGACAATTTAAACCCCATGTTTGTTTGGTTTAAAAGGGATGCTTTTTTCCTCCCATGATTAATCACAAGTTAAGCCACTGAAAAGGTGTTACCACTTTCTGGGGGAAAACAGGTGGGAGATGTTGCTTGGTGAGATTAAACTTCATTTAAGTTATGCTTCCCGCAAGCCCTGGAAGCAGAGAAGTTTTTACCGTTCATATTTAATTTAGTCCAGTAGAGTGGAAGCACTTGCTTTCCCCAGCGTGGCTACATATGCTAAGCACACCTGCTCCTGTTATCCTAAGTTCCCACCTGTTCCTGTGCTACGTGATAATGTAGCAGAGACTTCTTCGATATCTTGATGTGGGAAGGAAACCTCTTTATTTTGCATAGCACCCCCTGACTCCCTGAACCCATGTGGCACCCAAGGTTACAGATGGTAACATCGCAGCACAAACTTCCCATGTTCTTCAAGAGCTCCACCTGTATCCTAGACTGGGAAATGTCTCTCTGACTTCACAGTGACGGTGGGGAATCTACAACTTCTAAAAGGTAAGTGAGTCAGCGCTGAGCCGCCGAGTCCCTGGGCCCCCAGGGAAAGAACTCCAGCTCTGACTCTCAGGATATAATTTAACTCATTTCAATCTCAGAACCTGTACCTGTAAAGAAAACACAGAGTCTTCTGCTCCAGCCTGATTCTATTCTCATCTCGTTTCTGGAAAGGAGACCTGGCCCTGAGCAGGTGTGTCTCAGGCTGGCTGGGAGCATGTGGGTTCTTGACTTCGTGCAGGAAAGATTTCACAATCAAGTCCAGGTGATTTTGAGAGCATGTTTATTAACACTGGGACAGTGAAACAAGAAAGGGCTTAGGATAGAATAACCAATAAGAGAGAGCCTAGGAGGGGCTGCTTTGGTTCTCTAGAAACATTATAGGAAAAAAGTGAGCCACGGTGGGGTGCTGTCAGCTCACTGGGAAGTCAGAGGAAAGGGGGCCTTGGGGACGGGTTCAGGGGGTAAGCCTGAGTCAAGCTGCTGCTGCCCATTGCTTCCCTAGTTGCAAGTCTCCTGGGGTCCCTTAGAGTTTAGAAGATACATGCCTGTGGAGGAAGACGATGCGTGCCTGTGGAGGAAGAAGAGGGAGACGGGAAAGGTGCGGGCGTGCTCCGGGGAGGGAGAGCGTGAGCTGGGTCCTTTTTCTTGAGGGTTTTAAAGTCTGGGTGTCTAGGGGGGGTCTTAGGGGAGGATCTCAAAAGAATATTCATCAGCTTTTCCAGGTGCGCACTTTCAAGGTCTTGGTCTCTACTGATTGGTCAGCACCAGGGCAGGGGGTCATTAGTCAAGCAGCCGGTCTTGGCGTTGTCCACCTGGTTTTGCTGCTTTTCTAGGCCTGGAGCTGAAATATAACTGAGGCCTAGATGTTATCTCTAGGGAGGAAAGGTCAGGAGGGTCTAAACTGCATGACCAGCAATGTTAAAGGTCAAGGGTCCAAACTGCATGACTAGCGATATGCCAGAGGAGGAAAGGCCGCCCTGGGGACTAGGTCCAGTGTTAGCTTTGCCTGTTGCTAGGCACCAGGGGCTTTCTGCCTCGTGACCTTCTGTATCTGCTGTAAACTGTTTGGCCAGTTTGTTCAGCTGTCTGTCTCATTTCCCCATTCCACTTGCCAAGGAATTTTCCTAGCTTCTTACTATCCTGCCTCAATCTGACAGATGAGACAACTGATGCCCAGAAACATTCAATGATGTGTCCGAAGTCATAAGACTGGTAATGACTAGTGTTCTCAGGAGGCTCATCCTGCTTCTCCAAGCTCAGCAAATGCACAGAAATGAGGATTCCAGAATGCACGCCGACAGCAACCTGCACCATTATCCCACTGACGCCCAGTCTGCCGGGGGAATGGGAGAGACAGCACTGCCACCCAGCGTCACGTCCACGGTTTCTGAAGGGCACAGAGCCCCTCCCACACTCCCTAACTTTCAGGATCGAGTGACGGCGAGGTAGGCATGGAATGTCTCTTGCAGACCAGAGCTTGAGGGAGATTGAAGGCTGTTAGGAGGCCCGGCCCGGCGTGGCTCAGCGTTGAGCAGTGACCTAGTATCCAGGAGGCCTCGGTTTGATTCCCGGTCAGGGCATGTGCCCGAGTCGCAGGCTAGATCCCCAGTCGGGGGCGTGCAGGAGGCAACCGATCAGTGACTCTCATCATTGATGTTTCTATCTCTCTCTTTCCCTTCCTCTCTCTGAAGTCAATAAAGATATATTTTTTAAAAAAAGAAAACTGTCAGGAGGACCCAGGCCTCCTGTTCTGCCATCTAGGACGCCGGCCAGGTTTTGCTCTGTTAATTGGCACCCATGCAGGCACCTGGCTTAGCAGCAATTCTGTGGGTCTTCCGTGGCCCATCTTGATTTAAAGAGAAACATTGAAAAGTATTTCTCTGCCACTCCAAGCTTCCAGGGCTGCTCACACTTAGGTCATTGGAGAGGAAGGCAGCCTTTAAAACTTGGTATTAAACGAGATTATTCAGGCTCTCAGATTCAAAAAAAATTCTCAGAAAGATAGTGATGCAGGGATCTGATTTCTGCCTAAAGAGATACTTTCCCCGAGGCCACATGGAATTGAGAAGAGAAATTTATGGAAAAAAATGCCACTGTGACCTTAAGCAGGCAGGCTCGGGGTCAACGCCATAATGAGGAACGGAGCGCTATTAAAATATACCGCACATTTTAATGAGTCCACCAGCAGTAGGCCCCCAAAAAAGTTGAGCTCAGAATAATTTGTGGAAGGAGGATTTTGCCAAGGAGATTTTAATGTCAAGAATGTATGTGGGACTAAAAATAAGAGGCTCACGCGCATCCCAGAGCTGTGGGCGGGCATCTATCTATAATCAAATTAAATACTTCCTTTTCTACTTACAGAAAAATCCGATGGTAAAAATGGACTAGAAAACATTTAGTCATATTTCACTGGGATGATGCTGATGAATACCGGTCTCCCGACTTGTCAAAATAAACCCACCAGTGCTTCCCGGCCGAGGTGTGAGGGAGATAACAGCAGCCAGCGATACGCAGACAATGAGGAGCCCGCAGAAACACCACGCCTGGCAAAGCCAGGGCGTTCGGCTCAGGCTCCATGTGCATGCCGGGGTGGGGACAGGGACAGGGACCCAGGAGAGCTGCTGCTGCCCCGGGGCCTAGATGAATTCCGGCTTGGACACGACCTGCATTTCGTGCCTCTCGATCCTCTCGCGACATGTGGTTCTGGAATCCCTTGATCTTTGCTCCCTGGAGAAAGAACAAAGCAGAGAGGGGAAATCATTTGACTTAGTGGAAAGGGGAGCAGGACCGTTAAGAGATGAGAATAATGGAGAATGTATCAGGCACAGACACCCTGCTAAGCAACACCCCTGACCTTCCTTCCCCACCAGTTACAGCCCTTCCCGAGCCCAGTGAACACACATCACCGGCCAGGAGGCGGGCACTGCTCTTAGCCCCACTATACAGGTGAGCAAACTGAGGCTTATGGAAGTTAACTAACTTGTCGGAGGTCACAGGTAGCTATGAATCCACAATGGCGGGACTTGCACCCCAGCCACCGGGATCCAACCCTGAGTTGATTTCCTGTGAATTTCCCCTTGTACCCCCTTAGCTTGTACAGGAAACCGCTGAAAAACAAAATGACTGAGGAGCTGTCGGAGGGAGATCATGTCAGCTCTTCTGATCATTCTCTGACCTCAGCAGTGTCACTTGGCCTGGTGAGCCCCCGTGTGTTTATCTGTGAAGTGGTCCCCGTACTCCGTGTCCTGCTGTGTATGGAGGCACTTCAGGGGGACATGCCTGGAGCCAAAGAAGGGCCTTCCTGTGCCCTGGTGAGGCGATTGCTGAGCTGTGGTCCCAGGCAGAGAGCACAGGCCATGGCTTGGGCCTGGGCTTCACCCTGACCCTCAGAAGCGGGGCCTGTGGGATGAGGCCGACCCCACGGGAGTGGCTGGTGCCCCTTACCCGCGGCGGGGGAGGCAGGAGGAGCCGCTGAACGTGAAGTAGACCAGGGGGTTGATGGCGCTGTTCAGGGCCGGCAGGTTCTGGATGATCACAGACGCGTAGAAGCGCTGCTTGGTGTCCGGGAGCAGGCTGAAGTTGTCCAGCATGTCGAAGAGGAAGTAGGGGCTCCAGCAGCAGATGAAGGCTGGGGGGGGGAGGCAGTCAGCACCCGACGGCGCCCAGCCCAGGGCACAGGCCTTACACCCGGGATCTCTCAGAAATACTTAAAACAGTTGTGCTTGTGAACCAAATGTCACGTTCGCTTAAACACACACGCGCGCGCACACACACACATACACACACACGTACACATCCCACAGACAGCTCCTGAAGCTTCTCTCTCTGTACAGACAAGGTCCCATTTGACGACTGTGTGACTCCTTATTGAGAGCTGGGGAACCGCTGGGCATGGAGGGGTGAAATCGCCTCTTTGGAGCACTTCACAATGTGCGTGCTGCTGTATTGAAGGGGGTGTGTTGGGGTGTGGTTCTGGCTTCCCAGGGAGGCCAGCCCCCCTGCCTGGAGCAGGAAGTCCCACCCACGTCCCACACATCCTCTGAGCTCCCAGCTGGACACTCACGGAGCAGAGACCTGTTTGTAAGTATTCCGGTGAAGAAACCTGACTATTTTATATAGGAACACAGTATTTTTAATAAATACGGAATTTTCCAGAGATGCAATTCCCATCTGGGCAGAGTGGCTCAGTTGGTTAAGTGTTGTCCAGTGCACCCAAAGGTTGCTGGTTCGATTCCCAGTCAGGACACATACCTGGGTGGCAGGTTTGATCCCCAGTCAGGGAGCATACGATTCTCTCTCTCACTCTCTCTAAGCATGTCCTCAGGTGAGGATTAAAAAAAAGAAATGTAATTCCCATGCAAATGAGGAAAGATTACTTGTTCCATTTGGAACTGTATCAGGGTTTGTGCACCTGCTGGGAAACCCAGTCACCAACAGCGGGCTGCTCTGTTTTGTGTCTCCGTGAACGTGCACCTGCATGGTTTGAACTGATGGCTGCTTCCTCCCTCACCTGTGGAGCTGTGCTCAAGTACTTAGGTACTGAAATCTCTATCATTTTATTATAAATTACTTTCTTTCTATTCCTCCTTGATATTATTATGTATTGATTGTTTATGAATTACAGTAGGCCAATAGTTTTATGGATACATTTTGTATCGGGGTGGGCAAGAGGCGTTGCAGGATATTTGGTAGAGAAAGGGCTGATTTGGTTTAATTGGGTCGTTGACACTGGCTGACCCTCTCATGGGCTTCTCTGCTTTCTGACTACAGAGCCCCCCAGGCCTGGGCATTTAGCTCCTGGTCACGGAGGGACATTTTGGCTCTGGGACACACGTACCAGTTATGCCTCCTGACTCCGCCCCAGGGAGCCTGTGTCTGTGCTCCCGATTGCCTGGGAAGGCAAGAGAGGCCCGTCAATTCCAGAAGCTTCTGGGACAGGATTCTGAGCCCTGGTGGGCTGCACACACCCCATCCCCATTGTTGTGTGCCCACATTCTGCTGGCTGAGTCCCGCTGCGTGTGGTCGGGTTGGCATTTTGCTGCTGTGTTTATAAAGGTGAGATTGACTTTCGGTGAGTTGACATGCAGCTAACAGGAGGGCTGTGCTCTCTCAGAGCTCCAAGGGCCGCGTGAGGGGCAGGGAGGGTCGTATTTGAGCTACAAAAAAGGACACAGCACAATTCCCCTTCCTTCTTGCATATCCAACCTCATTTATCAGTTCACTCAGCGGTGTTAATCAGGCACCCAGTGTTTGGGGGCCCTACTCAAGGCCTTGGTGATAGCATTGTAAGGAACACAAGGCCTAAGTCATTGCTCTCGTGGAATTATTTCTCCAGCCCGAGAGACAGACAATACGCAGATCAATACCTATCTTATAATGTCGGGGCAAGTAGGAATGTGAGGAAAACTAAGGCCGGGCGGAGGCTGCAGGAGGGCTGTGTCAGGCTTGTCGAGGCCTTTCCGAGAGGTGGCTTTGATGGGAAGTGAGGACGTGAGGGGCTACGCCATGCCCGCATCTGGGGCAGAGCATTTCAGGTGGGAAACGGCAAGGGCCTCAAGGTCAGAACAAGGTGACGTCCTGAAGAAATTGCAAGACCACAGTGGCTGGGATTGAACGAGCAAGGAGGAGTGCAGAGGGGAGGGAGCGCAGATGGTGGGAGGATGGGTCTCACGGGCCTTGGAAGACATGGAACAAAGTTGGGTATTATTCCAACTCAATGGGAAGCTGTAGGGGGATCTGCAAGATAGCGACAAGGTATGCTTTAGATTGTTTAAATCTCGTGGGCTGTTTTGCCGAGGAAATAGGAGAAGACCAGCTAGTGGTGAGATTTTCTCCAAAGTGTGCACCCCGGGGNCATTTTAAACAATCTCGTGGGCTGTTTTGCCGAGGAAATAGGAGAAGACCAGCTAGTGGTGAGATTTTCTCCAAAGTGTGCACCCCGGGGCCTTGGTGGGAGTCTAGATTAATGAAGACAGAGATTAGGAGCCAAAGGTCACCCTTTGAAGGACTGATCAGTTTCACACATTCCTCCCCAATCACACAGGTGGACGTGTCTGTGGACAAACTCCTCTCCCCCGCGGGGTCGCCACCACCTGGTCCTAGGTGCACGTTTGCTCTTGGGATGTTCACACAGTTCTGTGACACAAGGAGGGACGTTGCTTACCAAGGATGATGACCATGCTGTACTTGATAGCCTTGATCTTTGCCCTTGAGATGAGCCCTCTGTTGTAACTGGTGCACAGCTTTCCATCTATAGATAGAAAAAGGGAACAGTAAAATGAAGTGTTGCTTCTATCAATGCAAATATTGTAAGTTAGTCCCTTACAGCTGTCACTGAACCACTTATATCCTGCTCGCCCATGCCCAGGAGGCCCTCCTTGGACATTTTTAGAATGGAGGTGGCTGGTTCTGGGCTGGATGTTGGAAACTGCTCAGTTTGCAGCTTAATATAAAATGAAAATGTACTGGGACATCCAGACTCTCTCAAGAGGCTTGGCTGGATGCCCTGAGCCCTGAGTCCGCTGAAGCTGAAGTCAGTCATAGTGACCACGGAGGGAGATGCTGAGATACCCATCTAGTTGCTTCAGCAACCCAGGGCAAAGCCATTTTCTTAGAATAGTTACCCAGCCCGGCCTGATGTGGCTCAGGGGTTGAGCATCGGCCTAGGATCCAGGCGATCAGGGTTCGATTCCCGGTTGGGGCACATGCCCGGGTTGCGGGCTCGATCCCCAGTTGGGGTGTGCACGAGGCAGTTGATCAATGACTCTCTCATCATTGACGTTTCTCTCTTTCTCTCTCCCTCTTCTTCCCTCTCTCTGAAATCAATAAAGATATATTAAAAAATAAAAAAAAAGAATAGTTACCCCAGACTAACTCATTCATCTCATTCAGAAACTCCAGTCTCGACAAAAGCTCAANAAAAAAAGAATAGTTACTCCAGACTAACTCATTCATCTCATTCAGAAACTCCAGTCTCAACAAAAGCTCAAACCAAGGATATTAAAAAAACAGAAACAAAACCAAAAAAAATCCTGGAGGGTAAATATAAGAGTGCATGAGAACATCAGCTTGATGGAGACAGGAACTTTGGTTTTTTTTTTCACTCTGGTATCCTCTGAACTTAATGAGTGATTAATGTTTGTTGAATGAGTTAATACGGACCTCTCTCCAGTCGAGCAGGGGTAAAGTAAACGTTGAGGGGGCAGAATCCAATGCAACAGCTCTCAGTAGGAGGGCTAGAGAGCTGGCAGATTCGGGGGTGGGGATGTTGGATGCAAGGTTCCTTGATGTTGTGGAAGAGTTTTTACTGCGGGGGCTTCGGACAGCCCACATGCACCTTTGTGAGAACTGGGGAAGGGTGTCCTTCCTCTGGATGGTGCAGCCCCGCCCCAGAGCGCACCTCAGTGAGGGCAGCATGGGTAGGACGCCGGCTCCGTGCACCTGCAGCTGGCAGCCAGTGATTGGGCTCAACAGGCACAACCTTCCTGGTGGCCCAGGCCAGGGGCCCTGCCAGGGTGCCTGAGTCATATGGGGCAGGGCAGTTGTACCCTAGAGGCAACTCCTGTCCTCACTCGTCCTCACTACATTGTTCAGATTTCACGTTTGAAAGTGACTTTCATCCCCTTGGGAACTGGCACGTTCACCTTTGCACTATTTATTCTGACCCCTCTCCATCCGTTGCAGCCCAATCTGACAAGCCCAGCACATCTGCTGAGAGGTAAGAGCCGAACAAAAGGCTTGAAGGCAGAGGCCCTGTTCCCCAGGAGTTTCCATCCAGCGTGAAAGATCGCACCTGCCCCACTAAGCTGGATGGCGTGAGAGAGACAAAACCAAGTATGGACAGAAATACAGGAACAAGGGACTTTTTATGGGCAATGAGCTGAAATGCTAATTATAATTGATTTGGTATTTCTTAATGCATACCCTGTGAGACCACGCTTAGAACATGCTATTCTGTGCATTTCAGAACCACAAAAAGTCAGTGGTATAAGCACATGGTGTAAGAAACATTTACAGCTGTGGTTCCCAGCTGGGACACCATTGCCCCCGAGGTGATTTTGACAATGTCTGGACACATTTTTGGTTGTCCCAGTGGCAGGAGGTGACTACTAGCATCTAGTAGGTAGAAGCCAGGGATGCTGCTGAACATCCTTCAATGCACAGATCTCCCCCACGACAAAGAGTCACCCAGCCCCAAACACTGACAGTGCCAAGGTTGAAAACCCTGGTTGCTAAGGTGTCATCTTGGGAAAGATACAGGCATCCGAGTCAGACCTGAATACATCCTCAGCTGTACCAATTACTAGCTGTGTCACCATAGGCAAATTGCCCACTATTTCCAGCCTCAGTTTCCCCATTTTAACAATGATACGTGAAACACCAAATTCAGTTATTTTGAGGATTAAAATAAAAATAATGTAGTTGAGATGCTAAGTCCCATGACTGAGGTTTAACGGTATTTCAGGGGGAATACAAGCTGCCTTTATGGACGTGAACAGAAGGTATTACTACATTTAGACAGTTTATTATACAATGTTGTTATCTGTGTATAGGAATTAGATACACCGAAAAATTATCAGGGGGGATTAGACCCATGGGAGGCAAGTCAAAAAGCCAGCAGACCAAACTATCCTTTCCCAGTATCCCCTCTGCTGGAGAAGCAGCTGACTCCTAGGCTGTAGACTCTGAAGACTGGGTTGGTTTTTCAGAAAAGTTCCCAGAATGACATTTGTGCTCTGAAATCTGCTTAAAATGGAAACTTTCTGTCCTTTCCACAGGGCAACTGGGTGACAATGTAATCAACTGCCTGCCCTTCAGTCTCCCAATGAGATCAGTAGAAGCATCTCTAATCTGACCACTCCGGGAAATGCAAAGCCTCCAGCTCCTAAGGATGGCTCTTCAAAGGCTGCCGGCTACAAAGGGCCGGTAATTCTCCTTTATTGGGAGATAAAAGGATTAATTCTATCGGCCCTGGCGCAGAGCCTGAGTGAAGAGCAGTTAAATTCAGCTGTCACTGTGTATTAATAGCTGGGCAGCCTGGAGGCAGCGGGTCCATTAGATTCTGCAAACCGCCCCAGGCTGTTTTAGCTCAAGTATGAGTCCCTAGGGGGCCCACGCTGGCAACTAGGTTCCAAGAGGCCCGTTCAGGCTCCCGATCTCCCCCCCACATCTTGCCCCTCAAGGAGTCACTGGGGGAGGGGGCGGGGGGGCAGGAAGGCAGTTATCCTGGGATTTTCAAATGAGGCAGAATTTATTCTTTGCCAGGAGGGGGAGCCATTTGTGGCCCTCGAATGAGTGCAGGTGATCTATTTGTTAACGAGGAAGTCTGCCGAGTAATATTTTAGAGTAAATATTTTTCATATGTTGGGAGTTTTATATACTTCAGATGGATTTAAAAAATTAAACGTTTTTAGAAGGTATTTCTGATTTCTAAAATTTTTAAAACTTGAAATTCGTTTTTGATTTCTGATCATTAATGGCCTCTTTATCTACAAATATGACCTTCATTTTTAGCACATGAAGTCTCATCTGCTTAACTGTGGAACTATGGCCACTTCCTTCGCTAGGTGTTTTTGTTTTGTTTTGTTTTTTACTTTCTGGCAAATCGGAGGTCACGCTTAGCGAGGAGGAGGTCTGACCTAGCTCACCTAGCTCAAGCCTTTTCTGTTCCTCAGCTCCTCAGCTGGGGCAGGCCCAGGACCCCTGACAAGCCTGAAATCATTGTGGCAGAGACGCTCAGCTTTCGTCAGATCCCTTCCTTTTCCCGGGGCCCGCAGCTGGACTACATTTCCCAGCCTCCCTTTCAGCAGGGTGTAGTCATGTGACTAAGTGCTGCCTGTGGGAGTATGGGAAGAACCCTTGTACCCGAGACCCAGGCCCGGCTCTAACCACCTCAGTGCAAGCCGGGTAGGTGCTCTGGGTGCAGGTTTACTGAAACGGGATTGGGGTGGGG